ACACACACACACACACACATATGTAGTCTCTCTTTCAATTCCCCATTCTCCCCCTCCCTCTCACTGTTTTTATATCTTTCTATTTGTCTCTAGCTCTTCGTCTCTCAGTCTTTAGTTTTCTTTGCCTGTAGTTCCCTGATATTATCACAAACTGTTGCACAGCTCTCAGGAAACTGTACTAACATGGAGCCAAACGATGTCTCTTTTCAATTTGGAACAGCTCCAACCAATTAATCATTTTGCCTTCAAAGGTTTTTCACCAAGCTTTAGTAAACGTTTTCTTGACATTTATTTTTCAGGTCGGCCTAAAGGCGCAATGCTCACCCATGAAAGCTTCCTGTGTATGGTAGAGAGCATTATCATACAAGTAAAGGTAAAGTTGTACACGTAACTTTGATACCACTTCTGTGTTTAAAAAAATATTTGCAAGCCCTATCGAAACCTTCGAAAGAATACAGGGCATAATCGCCTAACTAGTTAAGCAAATCGATGAACTGCGTAGTCAGCAAAACGCTGTTTAGCACCCTCTTATCTACTCAAAGAACCAATCAATCGACCATCTAAGGAATCGTAAAATCCAACCTATCAACCTAGCAAGTAAGAAAACAAGCAAGCAAGCAAATAGCAAGAAACCAACCAACCAACTAACCTGCCAATCAACCAACTAAGTAACAATTCAAGCAAGCAAGAAAATAAAAACACAACCCCTTCTCCCCAACAAACCGATCAAGCAAGCGACCAAGCTAGAAAGCCAGCAAGCAGCCAATCAACCAACAACCAACCAAGCAACAAACTGCGAAACCAACTAACCAACATGCCAACTTATAAAGCAAACAAACACGCAATCAATCAACCAAACCACCTAGCAGGCAACTAACCAAGCAAGCAATCAAACGAACAAGCAGCCAACCAACAAACAGTTCATATACAAAACAATATTTGATTAGAATAGTTATGTGACTATTGAGTCTCTCCTATTTACATTCACTATTTTCTGAAGAAAAAAAATAACACAGACGCAAACCTAATACTTGGTTGTTTTATTCGTTGTATTTCAGGCTGATCTACCGTTTTCTCCCGCAGATGTTCACTTTTCTTATCTCCCCTTGGCTCACAACTTTGACCGTGGAGTACACGTAAGTATCGCCTCAAAGTGTCTTCATCACTTGTTGGTGAAAACGGTGAAATGGTATAAGTTTAACTTCCCTATCAACACTATTAGATTATTTAAGAGACGGGACCTCCGAGTTTAACGTCCATCCTAGCCTAATGGAAAATTTGTGAAAAGTGTCTTTCCCAAAGACACAACGTCGGACCGAGCTTAGGTTCGAACTCCCGAACCCGCCATCTCATGATTACGGGTCCGGTAGCCTTCATTCCTACTTGACAAATAGGGTGACATCGCCTACAATTTGTGGAAGTTTTGATAATTTTGGAGGGCGGTGGGTATGGCCTAGATAGTGACAAGTCATTTATGTCTAGCTTGGAAATAGATGTAGCTGGCTGGGCGGTACGAACATTCCATCCTTTTACAGGTGACAAAAGTGGGTGCTGGCTGTATAAAAAGGTTGACAAGCAATGGTCTAAATGTTATGATAAACTTAGTCGTTCTATAATGTCGTATTTCCGACGGAAACATTTATTTTTACAATATACCACCTCTTCTCTGAGTACAATAAAGTGTTCCCTCAAATATTATTTATATTCTACTTCTTTCAACTAATGGATGGGTGGTGGTGGTTGCTCTGATGTGGTTTGCTCCTTCTATTCTATCAAACATCTATCGACTTTATCCTCCTCCTTCTTTTCTTTGTATGTTACAATCTAGTATAAGCTTTATTTAGTTTTCGGCACTCGTATAGCCTATTTGCATTGTAAGTGTAGCGAAGCTCTTAACTGAAACTAAAAGACAAACTTAACGGATGGGAGACATGAAATGCTAACTATGATTACATTTTTCTGTTTGTTTTCTTTATTCAAGGTCCTAGCGCTGATAAGCGGCGCTCGGATTGGTTACTACAGTGGTGACGTCACACTCCTGATGGACGACCTCGCAACACTGAAGCCCACTATTTTCCCAAGTGTTCCTCGCCTCCTCAATCGTATATACGACACCGTAAGTCCATCCATCCATCCATCCATCCATCCGTCCGTCCGTCCGTCCATCCATCCATCCATCCATCCATCCATCCATCCATCCATCCATCCATCAATCCATGCTGTTCGGAAATTCATCACCATAAAGTACCAGATCTGGAACAGGCATCAGAGACCATAGTTCTCCATTCATCTCTAGGCTCTCCTCTCGGATGCTCTCTGAACTTCTATAATATATTGGTCTTTCCCCTTCACCTATCCGTTCAAGTTTTCCAAATAAGTTGTTCTGGGTTTACCCCTGTCTCGTTTTCCTTCCATTTTTCCAATGAAATCAAGATGTTCAAAACCTTTTTGTCTATTCAAGTGTCCCGGAAACTGAGTTTGTGACTTGCTTACTGTTCTTACTCGTATGCGTGGGGCGTATTTCAGTACTTGCTCGTTTCATTTCTTTTCCTTTCATGAAATTTCAGGAATTTCGAGAGGTCACATGGTCAAAAAGTCTCGGGATTGACATACGACAACAACCGAAACATATTCTTCTCTAAAATGTTCTCCTATGTCCTCATTTCCTCTGCTCTAGTCGAGGTCTGTCATCTACAATTCTCTCTACCCTGCCCCCCC